GCCGACGACGGCGCAGACTCCGAGCAACGCGGCGGAGGCTACGAGCACGATAAAGTCCTCGCTTCGCACTGTGGCCAGCGCTCTGGCCTTGCCGCCCTCGAGCCTCCCCATGTGGAATGTAGGCGCGCACGGCGGCTTCCCGTTTTGGGGCGAATGGAGTCCCGCCTTTTGTGACAAACTAGGCGCCGGGCGGGAACCCGTCTTCCGAGGCCCCCCTCGTCGTTTTGTCGACCATTTTTTGTTATTAAATGAACTCGGGGGCACAGGACGCGGCACAAACGGGGTACACCAAAAGGCACGGGCTGCCTGCACGGCGTTCACTCGAACGCCATGCACATGGCGCGGAGCAGCCCCTCCCGGGTTGGTGTCGAACCCGAGCGGGTCCTCCTCCCAATCCCGGCGCCCACCCTCCGCGTCGTCCTGCTCATCGTGCGCGTCGAGCACCCTGCCGAGGCACAGGATCGTCCCCTTGGGAACGCCTGCCCCTCGCGCGCGTGGGAACTCTCCCTGCACCGCCATCACGAACTTCTCCGTAGAGCTTTTCGGCCCTCGCCACCTCCGCCGCCCAGCCCTCCGCCGACGCCTGAGCCGACTTCTTCTCCCTGAGCGTCTTGAACACCGGCGGCGGCGCCGGCGATGGCGCCACCTCCGGCTCGCCCGCCGCCTCTGCAGCCATTTTTTTTAGTGTACGTACTTATAGCTTACTGGGAGAAAAGAGAGAGGGGGGTTGTGTTTTCTCTAGGCCCCTAAGGGCCCTACGCGCGGCGTGAGAGCTCGGAAGCGAGCTTTGCACGGCGATCGAGGATGGCACGGTTCACCCCCTTCACCGAAGCGATGGAGATGCGTTCCGCGTGGTGTGACACAAATGAGAGGCGGGAGTGGGGAGGGTACGCGGTGCGGTCAACGCCCGAGCGTTGAGCCTCTTAGTGTATGTGGCTCTTACGTGCATTCCCGTAATTTTCGCTTTTTAAAGAAACAACTCTTTTACGAACGCCGGCGGTCTCTAGTCACATCCGGCCGGCGCAGCACCCTGGTCATATCCGGCCGGCGCACCCGGCTCCTTTCCATCGCCGACATGAAATTGAAAGAGTCGATGAAGCGAGTGGCGGGTCCGATTGTCGTCGGAGTGTTCACGCCATTGCTTCTGATCGCTGCCGTCGTCATTGTGCACGTCATCAGGATGACTGCGGCATCGACGAGAGCCGAGAAGCGAGGAGAGTACGTGGAGACCTCCACCAGACGGAGTTGCGCAAACTTCCGCCGCGTACCTCTCGGCGGCGTCGATGAGTTCGACTTTGGGGCCGAGAGCTCGATGGTGGACGGCGTGGCGGCCTTTCGCCAGTTCGTGCGGAGCAATTTGCAAGAGCTTCGACCGGCAGTCTTTAGGAACGTCCTGACTGACAACGAGTACCTGACGCGCATCCGCAATGACGAGGAGCTCGCTGAAATGCTCACAGCGAATGGGGTCGAAGTGCAGGCGGAGGGCTCGCTACACGAGTTTGAGTACAGAGAGCGCAACGGAAAGCCCGAGATTATGTCGGCCGCAGATTACATTGCTCGATCAAAGAGGGAGAAGCTGTACGTGGTCGACTCGGACTTTGGCTGGCTGATCGAAGGTGCTGGTGTG